TTACCGCCGCCCACTCCACTGTGTCTTCAACGACACGCGCCTCGACACGCTACTTGAGGAGTTCAAGAAGGGTGAGGCCACCGGGCCACCAACCCCCGGGTTCTCCCTGCACCCCTCTGAACCCCCAGTGATTCCCAGGTCAGCAGCCCCCATGGCCCACCCTGTATGGCCTCGTGGCAGGACCCAGCAGGTACCAGGGATGCTGGGGGGAGCTGGGCACTGCATGCACTGGTTTGTCAGTGGAGCAGCCTTGGGGTGGATCGAGGGCCTGCAATGCTGGTCATGCCTATGATGTTATGGAGACTGTAAGAGCCTTCAGTTTCAGAGGTTGCTGGCTCGGCAGGGGAGCCTGTCCCACAGGGCTGATATGTCTGCGGGGCTGTGGCAACGTGGGTGCAGTGCCTGCCTTGCACTTCTTCCCAGGCAAGGCAGCATTCATCACTGTTCCGCGCAGAGGAGTTTATGGCAGGAGATCAGATCTTGTTACTTAACTCTCACGTTTTCAGCTTAGCAGTGAGAAGCAAATCTAGGAAGCATTTCTGTGCAAATGGTTTAAAGAAAGAAGAAAAGCCTAAACCCTTATAGAAAGAGCTGTACTTTTTTTGCAGCTGTGACAGTATTCATAATGCAGCAGCCGCCAGCAGCCCCAGAGATGCTGAGAGCTGTATTTCATTAACCATACCTTGAGAATACACACAGCATGTGGTTTCCCTCCCGCTGGGAACTGTGTTTTGCTCCGTGTTACTCGGTACGTCATACCGTGGTGAGTGAGTCTTTAAGAAATGGCTGCAGCAGTGACATCCTGCGTTATGTAATCTGAGAGGACAGCACTCGGCTCCCGGGCTGCCTGGGGCTGCTCTGCCGCAGGCAGAGATGATCATGTGAGGAAGGCTGATCTGGTCCCTTCCAGACAGAGAGAAAGCCTCTCTGAGTTATCTCCCTGTTTGTTTGTAGAGCTATGAGGAGGGGAGGATAAGATGTGCCTGAGAAGTGATCATCAGATGCATGCAGGTCAGCATCTTCTCTGGAGATGCACAACTGTCTTCCCCCCCCCACCTCGCAGGATCGCAGGGAGCGGAGTTGTGTGTGGCACACAATACTGCTCTCTCAGCATGACTGGAGACTCCCAGTGGTGCAAATCAGCAAATTCCTCGGTTTTTTACTCGGACTATTAGCAAAAGCATTAAGGTTACTCTCAGGATTCAACCTTGATGAGCTGCAGTAGCCCCCCATTCCCTCCCCTCCTCCCATACGGCTTCTAATGTAACTAGTTGTCTCTCATCTTCCTAATTCTTTATGTGCTTCGCAGTTCCTTCTTAACTGTGGCTTCCCGCATGATACTGCAAAACTACTGAAGTTCACCTGAGGTCTCTGCTACCTTTCCCTGGTCTAGAGAGCTTGGTGTTACCAAAGATGTCAGATGACTTTGGCACATTCCCCTTGATCAGTCTCCCCTGCACTTTATCTGATCTACTTTGGTGTATTCACTGCCCTTTGCTTGCTGCACCTCTCGGCTGTGCTTAAAAAGAGATGTTTTGTGTGTGTTGCTCCCTGAGCTGACAGGTACGTTAACAAGCCTTGCTACCTGGCCTACACTTTCACGTGCTAGTCCTTATCTCAAATGAAGATTGTCCATCCTTCTTCAGCTTTGCTCCGCTAAACTCATGGCATTTTGCTTCAGGCTCTTCCTCCCTTACATCTCTTTGCCATAATGGCCTCCTGGGGCGTTTTGCTACAGCCCCTATGTAGAGCTCTCCTCCAAACAAACTTCTGTTCCCACCTCGTTTCTTCTTGTGTTTTCTAAATCACGTGGCTGAAAAGCCTTGCTTTTGGTCTTCGTGTCTAACTCAGCATGGTGTTCAGCAGTTCCAACTCTTCCCCCAAATGTTCTTCTCCCCAGGTGTTACTGTTCTTTCCAATTCATCTTTCCCCTATTTGTAGGCATTTAGTCACTCCCAGTACCCTGTGTTTGTAGATGGCCACCCCCAGACCAGGCCTGAACCCCTCCTAAAATCTGTTTTCCCAGTTACAAATACAGGTTCCTGTGCCGGCTCCTGCACTGCGGCAGACGTTTGCTCCCAGCTGCCTTCAGTCCCATCCCCTGCTGTTTCAGCCCTGTTTACTTGACTATTTAATTTCTAAAATAAAGATTTCCCATTTGTAATTAAGAATCTTCATCACCGTCTCCTTTTCTGTGTCCGTTTGAATTATGGTGAAGTGTCTTGTTTGATCCAATCAAGGTTGCTTTCCATGGCCAGGTCTTCTGTGACACCTCACTAAGTAGAGAGTAGGCTGACTGCTTGTTGGTTCAGTGAGTGCTTAATGAAGGCATTCATCACTTCGCACATCCAGGGTGCCTACAGAACAGCAAATGCTCCCACTGAGGCAGCCTCCGGTCTCTTTCTAGGAAATTAAAGTCTCTGGTAAGGATGGGCATTGAGAACCACTTCCAGGTCCTTAGGTCCTGGGCAAACCTCTAGAGAAAACTTGCCAGCTTGCTTTTCCTTCTCCCATGATTAACTCAAACAGGTTTTGTATGCTTTATTTCTTTTTGTTATTACAGTGTTTATACAAAATACCCATCACATTTTAAATCTTTCTTTCCTGAATAGCAATGTATACTTCTGACCTGTTTCACTAATGATTAATGTTCTGCCACATCCAATACGCCCATAATGTCATTTTTTTTTTGAATCATAGTGAACAAGTTACACAATTTCACTGCCAGAGCTCCTTGCCACAGTACACAAACATTTGTTCTTAGTGAAAATGTCAAGGGATGATTAAATACAGCACTTTGAGACTCTTGCTCACACCTCCAGCAGCACATCCCATTTCTGTCTCTCCTCCTACTTGCCAATATCATACTATTATCCTTGTTTACATGACACATCTCTTTTCTCTTGTTGTGCTATCCTAGCTATGAAGATAATCAACTTTTTTCCCTCTCTGTTTTTTTATAGCAGGGTTTGAAGGGAAGTTTTCCTTCGTTGGTTTCTAGGTATGCTCACATCTAATCTTGTTTGAGCTAAGTTCCACCAAGATGCACGATGTTTGCCTTGAGTTTAATCCATAGGAGGGTTGCAAATCCCCTCTCCCCCAGCATGACCCTGTGTAGATGGGGTTATCCTCCATGGACCTGGGGAAGGACACTTCTGTAGCATCAGCTTGCCAAAACATTTAACTTGCGTGAAAGTAGTAGCATACATTTCAGTAGCACCTAAGGAGCTGATGGCACAATGTGGTTACTGTGCCCCAAAGCACCTGTGAGCTCCTGGTTGACAAAATCTAGAGCATGCCCCATCACAGCAGAACTGGTCAAACCCTTCACATCTGCTCCTTCCAAGCCTGCTGTTGCTTGGCATTGTTCAATGTCTCTTTTGGCACTAATTCCTGGGGAAAGATGGTTAAATTGGCAGCAGTAAGGGAACTGGGAAAACCCCAGAGAAGGCTGTAAACAGCAGTGGAGTGTGGGGCTGGTAGCTTGGATTTCAATCCACAGCCCCAAAGAGGAGGGCAGCTGCAAAATCTGTATTGAAAAACATTACAGCAGAGAGATAGGTCCAGCTGAAGGAAGGAAATGCTTGTGCTGGAAGATAGTTTTACCTTTATCTTCTCATCAAAACTCAGTGGACTGAGCTCAGAAATAATGAATCCTGAACACTCAGTTTGCCATCTTTTCAGGCAAGCTAGGCAGGGTCATTATAGAAGGCATTCATAGTTGTGCAGCATTTACATAGAAGTGCTAAGTGGAGGACACTACACAGAATGTGTTCCCCCTTCTCTAGGAATAAGAGGATACATACCAATACAGTAACTTTGCCACCTGCAACCTGAAAGAAGCTGAAACCACTGAAGGAGTGAAAAAAATTTGGAGACAATTTCTTGGCAGTTGGTATTGGTACATCTCAGAGTACCTGGCTTTATTCTAGGCTGCGAGGAGGAAATGCCTAATACAGCAGAGAAATAACTGCACCATATTTAGCAAGCTAATCAATGCAGAGGAGCAGATGAGGTCCCAGTAGGACAAACGTCACTTTGGGAATATGGAGCTAGGAGGAAAGATTTATGCATTCATTCAGTGTGAAATGCTGTGGGTGAGGCAGTCTGTTTCTCCTCCATCCCTAGAAGATAACCAAAGCAATGTGTGTTGCAGCTTCAATCTTATGATATAAGAGCTCTCTCATGGGGAGCTCTTCTGTGGGGTCCACCTCCTTGTTCCTGTAGTGCCTTTTGAAAGTCACAGTCTTATCCCATTCCTCAGGTAATTTATGGGTTTTGATGACTCATTTCCTGTTGGAGTATATATACAGCAGTGGCAACTTTCAGCAAGTAATTGTCCTGTTGGAGGGACAGTAGAAGTTTGCTCTTATGTTCATTTTCCTGCAGCAGGGCAGATGCTGACATACAACCTAAATTAGCCTTCTGTGGTTTGGCATCTTTTAAGAGTTACTAAAAGTAAATTCTCCAAAACCAAACTTCCTGGTTTAGCAGGAAAACAGCCTGTCCTGCGGAGAGCAGCTCTGCCCTAGGGGCTGTCTTTGCTTTTCAAAATATTCCATGGCCTCTATCAGACTTCTGCAAATTGAGTGTAGCTGGAGAAGGCGCTTACACTTGCCAGGAACAGGGGTCAGTACCATTTCAGCTGCTTTTCTTACTGTCCTTCTTCTGAGCCTGCAGTCATTGCAAGCACAAAGCGTGGCTGGAAGTTTAAATCAGCCTTCAAGAGATTCTTGCAGTTATGATAGCACTATCTATCCCATAGAGGGTACAGGTCCCCTGATAAGCAATTGCCAGGCTGAGTGGGTGAGGTGCCCATATAACAAAAGCTGGTTTCAGTGACTATGCCTGAAACATTACTTTGTTTCTTCCCCCAAAACTGTGCTAAGTCTTACTGTGTGAACCCTGGGCTGCTTTACCCGACCCCAGCAAGCCCAGGAGCAGGCCTGCTTTGGGAAGGTGTTCAGCAAAGCAAGAGGGGAGCCATGTCCTTGGGGAGAGGTCACCCAGCCACCCATCTCCCTCTTGGGAGCTGTCAAAGGCACCTTCAGACAGAGCTGTGGGGAAGAAT